CAGTTTTTCTGGCTAACAGGCAATTAATGGAGGTAGCCAGGGATTAAACATTAGCAGTAAATTATTCTCTGTAGGAGATCAAATGGGAACCTTCTAGGCAATATCCAATTTATTTTCCCCATAAAAACAATCTTATTCACGGTGGTTAGGTTCCCAGGTTAGCCCTCAAGTATCTGTTTAAGCCTCAATATTCCTGAAATAGTGCCAACCTTCCACAGCATTAACTCTTAAGTTCCAAACACAACACAAAGCACCTAACCCAACGGCTAAAGAGAAATGGAGTCCCCAGCAAATTAACTCGCATTTGCATGAGATAAATTCCCTGGATATTCTGAGCTAGAGAACAAGAGAAAATCTAGCGTGGCAATCTCTCATCCTGCACAAAACGTTCCTCACTTTGGGACTATGAATGTGTTCTTAGACTCCTCTTTGTTGAGGGAATTGAAATAAAAAGACTAGCGGAGATTAGTGAGAATATGTGGGAGAAGAAAAGCGCAGGATTAGCTGGCTTAGGGAGTCGAGAGTGGGGTGAGATAAGTGCTTCCTGAGTGAGTTCTACTGTCTGAACATTTCCTTAGAGCCAGCCCTTGAAGGTGGACTCCAAGCTGAGCTGAGGCATAGCTTCCTTGAATTATAATTCCAAGTGACTTTAAATAAGGTCAGAGGAAGAAAACCAAATGGCACAATCTCAAGATGAGGTTATCTGAGCTTTGAAAGGACCCCAAGCTATGAGACTGAAGAAAACACACACACAGAGCAGAATATTAAGAGACTTGCAGACCTTCAACCTCCCCCCTACTTCTTTCCCCTCACATTCCCCATAACCCTGGCCAGATGCTAACCACTTCTTTGAGGAGCTGAAGGAAGAAGGCTGGAAGCATTCACTAGCCAAGAAACAAAATGGTACCACTTGGCTAGAGTGACAGAAGACTTAATAATAGACTTGATTTTGATATCTAGAATCTCACTTCTCTTGTCTAATCCAACCTAAGATTGTTCCTATTTTCAAATTTTAAAAAACTCTTCACATACCCTGAGCTAATACAGGGTGTAGAAAAGAAGACAAATGCAGAAGTTCAAAGAGATTTATTAACTGAATAGATTAGGGCAAAGCTGATAATATCTCCAAGTTAGGAAACTTGGTCCATTGGGACACTTACTAGAAATAAAAAATAAGAACCAAGGTGGTAATCGCACCGTCAGTCAAGATCGTGAGTTGGGATTTGGACATCTTAAAATTAAGATGCTCAACACAATATTCAGGTGATGGTGGCTATTAGGCAGATGGACATGCAAATCTGGACAGCTCTTTCTTGGGCAGTGACGAGTGACACCAAAGCAGGATAAGACCAGAGAGAGAGAAGCCAAGGAAACACAAATTTGAAGAAGCAAAATAATTAGGGAAATCCTGCTTCAAGAGGGGGGCTTTTTCGTTTAACTATATCCCTCTTCCTGGTTGAAAGTCTCTGCTGTACCGAGTCACCGCCACTGACGGAAGTGTGCTGCACTTTTCAGGTGTACTGGGCCAGAATGAGAATTGGGAACCACCTCGGCAAAGTTATGTGCCTTGAAGACTGGTCATATGGGAACAGATGACTAGGTCACAGGTAAACCTAGGGTAAAAATTTAGCCAGGGCCCCAGCAGGCCCACGAACCCCGACCCCCTCCAAGGTCAGAGCTACTAGAGTCAGAACGTGGAGGGCCAAGACGCCCCGCTGGAGTCAAGGTTTGACAGGAACCTACAGCTGCGAGGAGCTTGTTGAGCTGGACGCAGTGCAAATCGCGGCCTCGTCCGCGGTGCAGGATACACCGATGACTTCAAGGGCACGGAAGCCTGAGGACTAGGGCACGGGAGGCGGCGGCCCAAACTGGCGCGCCTCCGCTCGCCCCCGCAGACGGCGTACCTGGAGGTTGCAGCTCGCTCCCGTCCACCGAGGCTCCGCGGGCAGCGTCCCGCCACCACAGTGCGCGCGGCCCGACACAGCACCTGACACGAGGGCGGCGGTCCAGGAACAACCCTAGACACTGAGGCGCTATTGGTCAGGGGAGCCACCTTTCCCCCTCCCGCCTAGCCACCCCAATTACCTTCTGGGATACGACTCCCGACTCACAGAGAGCGCGCCGCGTGCGGGACACCGGGGCGGGAGCGCGCGCCGCCCGCGGCCCCGCCTCCTTGCCGTCCTGGAACTTCCGGCTTCCGGCCCAGCCACCCTTACTCCGCATCCTCAGACGAGCCTCCCGGTCCAGGAGGCCCGTTGGATTCTGGGGGTTGTAGTCATTTTCCGTTGAGAGAGGGTCTCCGGTGACTCAAACTCTAGAACTGGAACTTTTAAGTACCCAGTCACGAAAGAAGAGGCGGTCTTTGCCGCGGAGTCGGCCAATCCGCCCATCCCCGGCCCACGGCGCAGGGAAGTCGCCGGCAGCGGGGTAGGTTCCCCCCCGGCCAGCCCTCCGGAGTTGAGCCGCGCGCCCCCTCCAGCCTGGCGCTGCCCTCTGCCCGGTGGCCACGCTCAGGTAGGAAACGACCCGCCCCGTGAGGCCTGCACCGCCTCGGAGGCCGCAGGCCTGGCCACGGCCACGGAGTGGGCACGAGGGCTGCTTCTGCCCCGTGTGTGGCCTCTCTGCCCGCAGGCGGCGTGAGAAAGTCCCAAAGCAGCTCTGGGAAGGGGAGGAGAGGGTGCCCCGTGGGGGAGGAGAACTGCGTGGGCACTGCTAGGGGCAGGGAGTAGCTGGGAATAGCAAGGAGGGCTTTCTTCTTTTTCTTTTTTTAAAATATATTTTTTATTGATTTCAGAGAGGAAAGGTGAGGAAGAAAGAGATAGAAACATCAGTAATGAGCGAGAATCATCATTACTGGTCGCCTCCTGCACGCCCCCCACTGAGCCCGCAACCCGGGCACGTGCCCTTCCAGGAATCGAACTGTGAGATATCTCCTGGCTCATAGGAGGATGCTCCACCACTGAGCCAGGCAGCTGGGCAACGAGGGCTTTCTTTTTTCCCCCTTTTCCTTGGGGTAGAAATGAAAACACACAACATACAAACTGCCACAATGCACGGAAGCACCCTTCCCCAACTCGTTTCTGGAAAGTACACACATACTTTATTGGGTACACAAATAGCCTCATTTGGAGGCCTTAGATTCAGTTAACTGTGGAGGGAACAAGAGTAGGCAAAAGTGTTTGACTACCCAAACAAGGTCACAGCTGTGCTGAGGGAAGGGAACTGCCTGCCTGCCCTCACTCCGACCTCCTGTATTCAGCCAGCGCCCCTCACTGGGCCAGCCAGATCTGGGGTGGCTTTTTTTCACTGGAGAGTGAATTCTCAGCAGCTAGGTACCGAGAGGAGCCTGCCTCCCTGGTGAGGCCAGGAATAAGAGAGGGTTAACATGGTGCTGGCCAGAGCTAGTTGTATGCCTGATGCTTCCACACGGGAAGCTGAGACCCTTTGCTGGATTCGAGGTGCATCTTAGGCCCTCAGGCTATTTATAGCCACAGCCTAGGCTGCTGACCTGGGACATTCCCTCCCCATCCTGGAGCAAGGCCAGTGCACAGCACACTCCTCCCCTCCTCCCCTTCCTGTTCTTCCCTTACCCTCTGACTGCCGGTGTGCCACTGCAGGCACACTGCTGTGCTGCAAGGACTTTTTAAAACATGCGATACCTGACTAGTCAGGGCCACTGACCTCTTTTCCCTTCAGTTGTCAAAATAAAAAAATGACAACGGCCAACACAACAATAGCTGTCCAGTGTGAGTGATTCAAAACTATACCTTTTTTTTTTTTTTTCAGATTGGTCGTGTGCCACAGCATTTTAGTCATTAGTTTATGTGTGCCATGAGATGAAAAAGGTTGAAAATCGCTGCTTTAGGGGTAGGGTGCTTTTCATTCTTTCCCTCCTCCAGTTTCCTAGCTCTTGTGAGAAGGCGTATGTATCAGATGACAGAGGGCTGGCCTTGGAATGTCATGATCCACCAGCATGGGCCATGGTCACCCTTCCCTACCCCTCATCAGCTTTTGGGCCACTCTCTGGCCACCTGCCCTCTAGAGCAGCTGGTTAGCCGCTCTGCAGGCCGCTAAGAAATAGGTTGAGGTTTGGGGAGAAGGAAAAGGGGTGGAGCTAAGGATGTCCTGGGGAGGGAGCAGGAGGATCCCAGCTGAAACCAGCCACTGGAGCTCCGTAGAAGGGAGGCGGGGCAAATACAAAGGTCACAGGGAGCAGCGTGATCCGAGCCTGCAGTGAAAAGGTGTAGCTCTGTCAACGGGGGAGGGAAGACTTGGAAAGGTCACGCACTGTGGGGAGGAGCTGGCAAAAAAAACTAGGAACCAGGAAGTCCATGGGGAGGATGACAAGCCCCAGGGAAGCAACTCTGGTGCCAGGGCAGCCTGGGGGAGGGGAAAGGGAATGACCACAGGTTTCTGAGGACGCAGATGTTGCTAGGAGAAGCTAGAAGGGGGTTGAGATCTTTGTATTTTGTTAACAAACACTGAGATCCATTGATGCTGTGCAGGGCCTGGCAGAGGTCAGACAGAGCAAAGGAGTCCCTATGTCAGCTCAAAAGCCCAGATCCCTCCGACAGCCCTTGCCGCATCCCTCTTGTGGCTGAGACAGTTCTTTAGCTACTGACCCGGGCTTGGGGACAGGATTCCTGTTCTGTGTGAAGCAGCAGTGGGCACCCATTGCCTTACTTCCTTCTCCCTCCGCCATGCACACCCAGAGGCGGCAGCACTGGGCTTCCCCGAGGACAGGGAGAAAGCGGGCGCCACATCTGGAGGGGATCAAGGCCTCTCTCTCCATTGCTGCTGAGATATGGCAAGAGGCTGCAGGCTGCTTGGTGGTTCAGGGTCTCGAGACAGGTCACTGGGCCCTACAACTTCCTGTCGGGTGAAAAGCTGAGAAGGGGCTGCTCTGTGGGGGGTCCCAGATATCTCGGTGGCCAGGTACACAAACTTCTGCCTGTCTCCACTGGGGTAAAGAAACTGCCTGGCCTGGGCCACGGCCCTGCTCACATATGTTCTGGATGATTCTGGAGGCAGCGGATGAATTCACCCACAGGCTGGTTCTCGTAGCATATTTTGTACACAGCCGTGAACAGAGGGAACCTGGAATGGGGAGGAGAGACCCAGCTTAGCTTCCTTGTACATCCTCTGACCCCCAGTCCACGTCCCCTCCTAACCCTCCAGTCTCCTACCCCCCCACCTTTGAGTTCAGGTAGCCTCTGGTTCTCAATTCCCAGTTGCTGAGAATTTTAACTTCCTAGCTCTGGGTTTTAGGGTCAGGTTGTTAATTGCCTCACTCTCTATCATTGAACTGGCCAACATGATTCCCTGAAATTGTTTTGATCCAAGTGGACAAACCTCTTAACCTCTCTGAGCCTCGGTATCATCAACTGTAAAAGGGGGCCAATGTGACACAGCGCTGAAGGGATTCTGAATCTGTGAAGAGCTTCATAAATGCCAGTTTCCTCCTCCTCATCCTCTTGCCCAGGCTGTTTGCTTTACCAGGAGGCTTTACTCTGACCAGCCATGAACTGATCTTTTGAGCCTGTTTCATTCTCTCTTATCCCAGGATTCTTTCTCCGCCAGGAGAGCTCTGCTCTGACCAGCCATCACCCCCTCTCGTCTGTGTGCCTCACATAAAGCAACACCTTGACGAAGAGACTGTCCTCACACTCAGCACCCAGGACAGAGGTCAGGGACAGAGGGTTGGCTTTAGGTGAGCAGCTTAGTCTCAGGATGATAGACAGAAAAATAGGACAATTTATTCCTATTCCTGCTTATTTCTGCTGTCCAGACTCCTAACCCCCACAGCAGAGGAGGAGGAAAGAATGGAGGGAGGCTATGAGAGGGTTGAAGCAATGTGGAATAAAGATCACTAGACTGGAAGGAGTTCAAAGACCATGAACTCCTAGTTGGGGGGCAGTGGGCATCCAGACTCTTTCCAAGCTCTGGTCTCTGTGTGTGTTAACGTAAGATAACATTTCCCTCTCTGCCCACTTTACTACAGATTGAGGAGGGTTCAAGAACTTTAAGAATGGGGAGAGCACTTCTGGCTGTGATTCCCTCCACCAGTGGGCTTGGTCCCCAGTGGGGCTGTGGCAGACGCTTACTTTTGTACCAAGCGCTTTTGTTGGAGGATGCTGTGTAGCTCCCGGGCTGTCTGGGGCCCCTGTAGCTTCTGCCCATTCAGCATCTCTTTCTCCAGCTGCTCAATGGACTGTGAAAACACAGAACAGATGGATGGAGGTGAGAGAGGAGGATTAGCGTGAGGTTGAGAGTCCGGGGCTTGATGAGAGTAGGAAGGTCAAGGAAAGAAAGGCTAGCAACGTTTACAACAAGCTTAATGTTTGTGCTCAAGAGACACCTCAAGCCAGGTTCCTCTACCTCGACACCTCTAAGCCCACCCTCTGTTCTCCATTCTCCCCGGCGCCCACCTTTCCTGTGCGGGCAAAGGCCTCAGACACCTTGCGGTTCCGCCCTCCATAACAGGTAGTGATGAGGTCAGCGATACCACAGCTCTCCAGGAAGGTGGCAGAGGACACAGGGCCCTTGCAGAAGAGCTTGGCGAAGGCGATCATCTCCATGAGGCCCAGTCGGATCACCGCTGCCTTGGTGTTGTCGCCAAAGCCCAGCCCATCACAGAAGCCAGCCCCCACGGCCACTACATTCTTTGGAAAATGGAAGTCACAGATGAGAAAGGATCCCCTTCTTCAGGCCCCACTCGGAGCCCTCGCCACCTGCCTCATGCTGCTCCCATCAGCCATATATGCCCACTGAAGAAGTGAAGTGTAATGGGTGGCTCTGTGACTATTTCTACCTCGTGGTTTTCCCACTTGTGCTCTCCCCTAGCCTGGGCTTATGCTTCCTGGCTCCCCAACTCTGCTCCATCCTCCGTCCTTGAGGAATCTACTGAAAACCAATCTTCCATCTGGCTGGCTCCCCCACCCGTGCCTATCGCTGATATCCACAGCTCTGTCTAGGGTCCAGAGTTCTAGCCATCAGTCTGTCTGGGTGTTCTGGACATCTCCCATGAGCCTGAGTGCTCCCCCAGAGCACCTCCTCTTCTCCTTGGACCGCCCCTGGAGCCAGTGAGAGGGATGTCCCACCAGAGGCTACAGGGAGAAAGGAGGAGGGGGTCCTGTGTCCGATGGTGAATAATCAGCCCGCCTAAATGATTTTGGCTTTGCTTCTGCAGTTCTTCCTACGTGTATAGGATTTGGTGGGGAATGGGAGCAACTGCCTCTGAGTGAGAGCCTGGAGTACCAATAACCAGGTGTAGCTAAGCCAGGCCCTCTTCTCCCCACCCCCTAGCTACTTCTATGTCCTCACCTTCAAGGCCCCACATATCTCTACTGTGTCCACCTCTTGCACCACCGTGATGCGGAAATTGGGCGTCTGCATGAGCTCTTTCAGAAGCAGCCCCTGGGCATGGTCCTTGCAGCCTGAAATGGAGAGGGGCAAGGCTTTAACAGCGGACTCTTGGCTCTTTGCACACCTGCCCTAAGCAGGACCCGAACCCTTTCCCTGGGGTGTCCCAGCCTTCCCTCACCTCTGATGCTTGGGTCTTCTTCCTTTGTCTGCCTTATGGGGAGCAGATGGCTAAGTGGGTTTGGGGGAGGGAGAGTATGGGGCTGCTTTATGTACGTGGGCTGTGGTGGGGCTCTCACCAATGGTTGTCTCACAAAACTTCTCATCAGCCACCTCGTTGGCAATGTTGGCTCCCATCAACACATTCACAGGGATGCCAAGTCGCTCCCCAATCACTTCAGAGATGAGCTTCAGCCCGTTGGGGCCCTCGTCTATACCCTGGGCACAGGATGGAGCTCAGGCCAGGCGCTCTTTATGCCCACCAAGGGCTCCCCACCTAGAAATCCTACCCTTTCCAAATCCGCTGTTCATCAGTGTCCCCCGACCCCCCCCAAATGTCCTGCTGCCATCCCAACCCAGCCAAAGCTAGATGTAAGGAGCGTGGATGGTATATGAAAATTCATCTGAAAACTCTCCTCCACCTACTCTCCAAGGCAATGTATCTCCACATTCCTATACAACTCACTTCCAAGTTCCCAAACCAACTTCCAGCCCAGTCACTGCTCCAAACCAACCTCTCACATTCCTCAACCCAGCCTGCTTCTCACCCCCGGGTATCCTTTGGACACCTCCTAAGCTCCCAGGGCATCTGCCTCCAAACCGATCTCTTGTCTACTCCTCAACCAACCTCCCTCCCCCGTGGCCCCCAGCACCTCACTGTTTCCCAGGCCTCCCCAAGCCACTCCTTTCCTCTCCCCAGAAAACTCTTAGCCTACTTTTGCCATATTCTCTCCTCCACACTTTACCCACCCGGAGCCCCACAAGTTACTGCACCCCCCTTCACATGGTGTCCCTGGCACCTTAATGAGAGAGATCCCGATGGCGCCTGCCTTCAGATGGCCCGTGAGCTGATCACAGAGCTTGCTGATGAACTGATGGGGAACCACAAAGATCAGGATGTCAGCATCCTCGGCAGCCTGGACCACATCTGGGACAGCCACCTGTGGGGTGACCAGGTTCATGGGCTGATAGACTTCTTCTAACCCCCATGAAACCCCATTCAGTTCAGAAGATCTAAAAGCCAAAGAGTGAGGCTTATGGGGGAAAAGAAGACCAGTTTGGGGTTGAATCTGGAAGGGCTAAACTTGGAGGAATACGACACTGTATTCCTTCTCCCATCGCCACCATTCCCTCTCTGCTCCAGTTTTCCGGGGCTCTTGACTCTGGGAAAGCTCCTCCCAGCACCCTCCTAGCCTTTGGCTGTGGGACAGTTAGAGGCCAAAGGAGGCCTGAGCTTGGCAGGAGGAAGAGGCCAAGTAATTTCATCACCCTGCTCCTCAGGGTCCCGAAGGGGAGGGAAAGCGCCAATTCTTCTGTCTTCTCTGGGGAGTGAGCCATGTGGATTTGACCAAAGACCTTAAGTCCAAGGAGCATTGTCCAAGTCTGCTAATAACCCAGTGAATAAGTAACTGGATTAGAGCCTGAGGCAGGCACTACCTGAACCTCAGGCCTGGGCGCCAGAGATCCTGTCTGGTTGCCACAGAAACCAACTTCCTGGTCTTCTTTTAAAGACCTGGGGTCCATAAATGGGGGCGGGGGGTGGGGGTGAGGGTTCTCCTATTCCAGAAAGTGCCCAGGAAAGCAGTTTGGGGGCTGTGCCTAGGAGTGCCCGGTGCCTGGAACAGCCTTCCTGAGACACTTCCCAAGTCCAGGTAGCACCGGAAATGGCCCCCTTCAGCAGGAGGCAAGCACACCTCCCCTCTCCCTTCCTTGTAGGGAGTTGGAGCTCACCACGTTGGAGGGAAGCTTGTGCCCTGGCAGGTATTTGACATTTTCATGCTGTGTGTTGATGATCTCTGTCAGCTTTCTGCCCCCAACATCTTCCTCAAACACCCACATGGTCACCCGTGGGTCAAAATGTGCCAGCTTGGCTGCATTACCACCCACAATCTTGGCGATGGCTGAACCCCTGGTAGGAGAAGGAGCACAGAAAGTGGGGGTGTGATGGAGGAGGTTGGCAGGGGAGGGGGCAGTGTTCCACCTCAGTATATGGCAGGGGAGGGGACAGCCCACCAGATTATTTACCTTCCTTGTCACCCCACCCCCAAACCCAAGCAGCTTTTAAGCAGAGAGCACTGGAGGCTCCCTTCCGTGCTGAACAGGTGCGGGGCCAGGGCCAGGCAGGGGCCAGGAGAAGTCTGGACACCATCTGTCCTCCGGGGCAGGGAGCGGGGTGGGGGGGTGGGGGGGCACAGAAGATAACGGCAAGGAGGGAAGGGGAGTCGGTATTTTCTACCCACTGCCTGCCTCCTGCCCACCTAGGCCTCTGTGTTCTTGGGGGATCCCTTCCTCCCCATACTTCTCGGCAGAGCCACTTACCAGTTGCCAGAGCCTAAAATGCAGACTTTCTTGACAGCCATGGTGCCGCTTTTCTGCCGGAGCCGGCTGGTTCACACTCCCAGCTCTTCTCTCCGCTGGGAGCATATAACTCTGCCACACGTGGGTGCAGCCAAGCCCCGCCCTCCAGGGGAGGCAGGCGCCTGGGGAGCCAGTCTGGCCGAGCCAGGGAAACGGGAGAAAGGGGTAGAGACAGGTGGGGAACTGGAATGGGGCACAAACCACGCTCCACTTTTCCTCAGGTTTGCCAGCTGATGGTGTTGGCAGTCTTCCTTTGGCCCCGGCTCAACCCCCCGTACCCCCCTGCGACGGTCTCCTTTTGAAGTCTGCCAAGAAAAAGCCCAGATAAGGAGCAAGTGACTGGCCCCCGTCACTCCCTCCCTCCCGTCTCGCAACACTACAGTGTGCAACATGCAGCCCAGGTAGCAGGTACAGGAATGTTTTCTTTTCGGTATATGTCTAGTATATCCTCCTGCCAGGACTCCAAAAAGTGCTCTGCAGTTTTGTCCTCTAGCAGGGAAGGGACCACGTCACTGGCCCCACACTGGCTGCAGGGCTGTGAGTGGGGGTGGGCCCACTTTTAAAGCTGAGACCACAACAAAGGTAAAGGCGTGCTTTGGGTTCAACCCAGCCCCAGAATGAGACCCCAGGAGCCCTGACGGACAAGGTCATCTCAGTTACCCACAGCCCTCATCTCAGGCACTCACCAGGGGGCCTCCTCACCTCAGACTTCCCACCTGAACGTCTTCCAGGAAGGGAGGATGGGGAAGGTCAAAGTGAGAGGCTCTGATGCGACTCTGGGCTTGAAGACAGGAGAGAAGAGGTGCCAGCGTGCTCTCTCCCCCGGAGAGGCTTTCAGCACCCTTCAGTTCTTTCTTGGGGTTTTAAACTACCACTCGGGCCGCCTCAGGTCAGTGGCTAGTTTGCAGAAGCCAGAAAAGGGGAAAGGAGGCTGGATCGGAGTAGCGGTGACCTTTGTGAGAGCGTGTTGGTCTCCGATGCTGTGATTGAGTAAGTGGGGTGGGGAGGGGAATGGAAGCAGCTTTCAGCAGTTTAGGGCTCTCTATCGCCCACAGCCATCTGTTTGACTCGGAAGGGGAGCTCTGGTTTCTAGGCTGATCTGAAAAGAGGTAAAGGGCCCTAACACTCCAGCTGCCTGTGCACCTTGACCTAGAGGGCAGAGACCATTGTGTGCTCACATGCTGACCTCCTGAGCTGGCAGACTCCTAAGTGGGTGTTTCCAATCCCTGGGGCCACTGTTGGCCGGCAACAGTGATAAACACTGGGCTAGAGGGGAATCTGTGCAACCACTGGGTAAGGGTAAGTGGGCACGAGGTCAAAAGCGATGGTTTCCAGCCCGCCCACTGTGTCTCAACTGAGCGTCAACTCACGCACCAGGTCACAGTTCAGTTCCCGGTCAGGGCATGTGCCCAGGTTGTAGGCTCGATCCCCAGAAAGGGCATGCAGGAGGTCAGTTTCTCTCTCATCCATGTTTCTATCTCCCTACCCCCTCCTCTCCAAAAATCAGTAAAAACGTTTTCTTTAAAAAAAGAACAATGGCTGAAACTGGTTTGGCTCAGTGGATAGAATTTCGGCCTGCGGAGTGGAAGGTCCCAGGTTCCATTCCGGTGAGGAGGCATGTACCTTGGTTGCAGGCACATCCCCAGTGGGGGGGGTGCAGGAGGCAACTGATCTATGATTCTCTCTCATCGATGTTTCTAACGCTCTATCCCTCTCTCTTCCTGTGAAAAATCAATAAAATATGTTAAAAAAATAAAATACTGTGTGCGCGGAAACCAGTTTGGCTCAGTGAATAGAGCGTCAGCCTGCAGACTGAAAGGTCCCAGGTTCAGTTCCGGTCAAGGGCATGTACATTTGTTGCAGGCACATCCCCAGTAGGGAGTGTGCAGAGAAGCCAGCTGATCAATGTTTCTCTCATCGATGTTTCTAGCTCTCTATCCCTCTCCCTCTCTAAAATATCAATAAAATATAAAAAAAAGAATAAAAAGAATAATGTTCTAATGGCTGCCCAGAAAAAGCCCCCCATATTCTCCTTCCATGGCCAGTTCCCATAGGAGAGAACAAACATAAAATCAGTTGTTTCCTTTAGGAACAAAGTTGTACCTTTACAGAGCCAGCCTGGCACAAATCACTCCAGGGTGCACTGGCTCTGAGACAAGGCTCCAGTGCCAGGCTGCCAGCTGGGAGAACTGATTATGGGTGATGGAAGAGAAAGAATGCTTCTGTCCTTAACACATGATGGGAACCCCAAAGAATGGATATTTATGCATAAAATAACCCCATTGTTTTCCCTAAATTCTTCCATCTCATTATGCTCCTGTAATAATTTTTATTGTGGAGACAAAGAATTTGTTCATTTATATAGGAATAGTGTGCAGAGATCCAGAACGGCTTGTCATAGGAAGTTATCTGTATCACTAGGCTCTTCCCAAGAGCAAACTAGATTTGCTTGAAATTAGTAAAGGTTCATCAGTTACTCATTACACATGTAATTAGCCTGGGTAAAAACAGATGCTATTTCAATGTCCTTGACATAATTTTTTTCCACTCCAAGTTACCACCCACACTCCTTTCTGCTTTCCCTACTGAAATCTGATTAACCCCCAAGTTCCAGATTAGGAGGTGGTTTTCTCCTTGGCGGGTTTGACTGAAGACAGGGGATGCTTGAGTTCCCATCCCACTTTGGAATGTGCTTGCACGCATGCTATATTCTAAACCCCCTTCTTGGGTAGAACCAAGCAAGACAATGGCACAGAGGAGGAAAGTAATGAGCCACCAGCTGGGAAGCAGGTACATTATGCTAGAAACTAATGGGAATATCAATCCTGAGCAAAATCTTCCAAGTTCTGCCAGTGAGGGGCTGGTTGACTCTAGCGTGAGGATGACAACACAGCAAGCCTTTCCATGCTCTTAGGAACTGAAATCTTATTCAGAGCTGTGCAAGTGGGACTGTAAACAGTAGGTAGGCAGAGAACAAAACGGTTTTAGCTGTGCAGGCCCTGGCCCCAATCTAGACAGGAGCCCTGATAAGTGGAACTCCCTTGGAGGACGCTCAGGCTCATTGAGCCTAAGGGATCACAGGCACCCATGGACAGTGCACATGAAGGAACACACTCGAACCCTTGGAACCCAAAAGGACAAGGGAGAAGTCAGTACTGTCTTGTTAGTACTTCCCCACTGGAGCTGGAGACGGCGATGAAACCCAGTGACCCCGCCAGCCTCTGGCCTGCTTGGACCCCCAGGGCCGACAGTGAGTTCTCAGGTGAGGACCTGAGGCCCACAAGGTAGAAACTTTTTTCTATCATATCCCCAGAACCTAGCAGGTGCTCCGTAAATACCTGTCAAACAAAACGCACAAACACCGTAAGCATGGCTAAAAGCACTGGAGAGAAAGCTCAGGGAAGAGCTCTCCCTCAGGAGGTAAGGGGACCCATCTTTCAGAAGATTCTTTTATTAAAACTGGGTGACATCGATAAGGGGACAGTACAAAAAAAATTTTGGTCCATGAAAAAAACATAATTCAGTTAATAAAAAGTTATCTTTTACAGGGACACTGTGTAGGAGTGCCGAGCTTCCTTCTCATGGTTCCAGCCCCAAGAACAGAGGTTGTCCAGTGTCACTGGGGAGCTTTCGAGGGAGGGGTGGGATGACAGAAGGAAGGAGACAGGAAGAAAATTCTGTCCCCAACGTGGAACAGGCAGGGATACCGGGCGGGGAGGTGCTCGCAGGAGCCTGAGGAGAGGTGGGAAGCAGGGGCTGTCAGTTCTGTGGGTTGTGCCCGTGTGAACGAATTCCCCGTGCCCAGCTGTCTCCCACCCTGCTGTGTTGAGTCTGCGAGCCTGGGATATGCTAACTCGGGGCGATACACCTGGAAGAAGAATCTGAGGCTCTCATGGAAAGATGCAAAACCATCTCAGTCCCAAGGGGCCAAGATCACAAGGTCCTGCTGCTACCTGAGGGGCCTGAAGCTTTGAGGGCAGGGGCTGGGGAGTCCCCATCCTGTGAGGCAGGGAGGAAGGAGTCACAAACCCAACTCAGCTCTTCTGCAGCCCTAGGCGCGTTCACTCCTCAGTGCCCCAGAAGTCACCAGCAGGCGTCAACTGGGCAGACAAGGGGCAGGAAGACAGGGGTGGCCCAGGGCTTTTACCCGTTTGGCTTGAGGCCTGTTTCTCCATGAAGGGATGGGGAAGGCAGAATGGAGTAAATGAAAGGACACCTCCACGCAGCGGCAGGAAGGAACAGCCTCCACTAGTGACAGCGCCCAGGTTAGATTCCTGGGGCTCTGACAGGGAAAGGCAAGATTCCCCCACCCAAATACCCTGCGTTAGGACGCTTAGGAGGGAGTCCTAAAGAGCAGCTACGAGGAGTATGCTGGGAGGGAGCAATCGTTAAAGAACAAACTCCAATACTGATGTAGACCCCCTACGAGGGCGTAAGAGAAGCACTGAGACCGCAGGCCACTCCAGAGACTGCAGACTGCCCGGGCCTCAGTGGAGCTGGGGAGCCAGGGTTCCTTCAGTGCTAGAGGGCAACAAGTGAAGGGGCAGTTTGCCCCAAACCTGTGGAGGGAAGGAAGGACATTGGGTTCTGTTATCAGGAGAGCCAAGATCAACTAGCTTATGGAGTGCCCCCAGGCCTGAGTCTCGGAGAAGGGAATGAGGCTCCCAACTCCTCGGTCTCTGAAGGGCAGGATCAGTGTAGCTGGTCACCTTGAAGACCATCTGGCCTTGGGCCTCATCCATTCAATGCACTGATACCACTACAGGTTCTCTCTCTAATACTATCTAGAGGTCCTATGCGGACCAGGGGAGGGTAGAGGCACCCGGGGACTTTGTGGGGCAAAGGGAAGCTGGGGGTGGGGAGGGACGGGGTGGGAGAAGAGGGTCACAGGTATCTTGTAAGACAGAAATGTGAGACCCTCTTCATTCTGGTGTTGTCCTTCAACCAACAGCATCCCCTGGAAGGTCCCAAGCAAGACCAAGGCAGGTGCTATGAGGCAGGCAGAACGGGGCCCAAATAAAGAATCGGCGCAGCCAAATCTGGGCTGTGGGAGAGGCCCTATGTATTTCGGATTCCCAGGGCTTGCTCTAATTCTTGCCGTCTCTGCTGCACCTGAGGAGAAAACAGTGGAAGGAACGGAAGATGAGACAAACCAGGAATAGGTAACTCATACCACTGACCCCGCCGGGGAACAGACCCCTTGCCTTTTGTCACTTTCCCCGTGCAGCCCAGGCACTTACCTTGGAGTAGAAGTATCGGCACACAGCCTCCTGAGCCCAAGGCTGGAAGTAGAACTCAGCTCGGCGCTCTTCCTCTGGGTTGCCCACCACATCGGTCATGGTCTGAGGGAGAAGGCAGAGAGTAGAGAGAGAATAGATTTGTTTCCTTTCTTTATACCCGTGCAGAAGATGTCAGAATCCTAACCCACCAGTACCTGTGAATCTGACTTTACTTAGAAATAGGATCTCTGCAGATATCAAGTTAAGGTGAGCTCATAGGGTAGGCCTAACCCAATAAAACTGGTATCCTTATAAGGAGAAATTTGGGCACAGAGACAGAGATGCACCGAAGGAAGAAGTGAAGACAATTGGAGAACACCATCGGCACACCAAGAAATGCCTGAAGCTACCAGTTAGGACAGGGGCCTGGACAGACCCTCTCCAGCCCTCGAAGGAACCAACCCTTGCGGACACCATCTTGATTTCAGAACTGTGAAACAATAAATTTCTATTGTTTACACCCAATTTGTGGCAGTTGACTACAGCAGTCCTAGCAAACTACTAACGTAACGCCCATAGTCACCCTGCAATCATCAAGTCACTGCCTGGTTCAGGGATCCCTTCCGGAACTCTCGGTCCCTTCTCAGCCTCTAAAAGTCACAGTCACCACAGGATGGCGAGGGCTAAGGGAACATTTCACACATCCTGTGCTTGTTCCTGCCTTCTTGCCTCAGCCTCTGGTGCACCCCTCACTAGGAAATAACAAATTCTTCATGAAGTCTGGGCCAGCTATTTGAGTCTTATCAATCTCCCTTCTCCTTTTTATTATCTTACTGATATTGGTGAGATCAAATAATGTCTGATATGGCTTATTTTTTTTTTTTCAAATCACAGCCTAATTTCCCCAAACTGAATGCATGCTGCTTTGAAGCAGAGATCTTTTCCCACCTGTATCCCCTATGATATGGTGCACAGTGACAACAAATACATGTAAGATACACACTAGATGATTCTACCTCCATTTCCCTACTTAGTTGTAAGACAGACCCTAGAATATGCTAAAGATAATCTGGTCCCTCACTAACCCTCTGGCTCGTCGTCTACCAGATGTCACAGAAATCATGCAAACATATGCCTCACTGAACTGAGTCCCTTTGCCACTTTCCTAAGTATTTTTACCTTGAGGTCCCGGCACTGAGACTGAAGCCAGTCATTAATGAAACCCTGAGGGTCTCTGGCAAAGCTCAGCATGAACTCCCGCTGAGTCTTCAGCTGATTGATAGTTTCTATTGTCTCATGGATCTGAAAGGAAGAAGGAAGCTCATAACATTTTCAAAATGGGGAAATGCAAAGTTAAATGGAAGACAGTGTGGACACCTCCTTGGGCCACTCCCAACCTCGTACAGAGCTGCCTAGAAAGGACACCGCTGCCCAGAGCTGCCACTCTCCGGCCCTCCCCTTTCTCTCAGGAGGTAACTTGCACTGTGGCTCTATTTACCTGACGTGAGAGAAGTTTTCCTTTTAGTCTCTGGTGCCCATTCTGGGGGAAGCTACATGGTGAATACTTAACCCACAGCACAGACAGGACTAAAAACACTCTTGGGTAGAAAAATAGTACAGAGGGCTGTCTCAAATGTTAGGGTCCATGGATTTTTTTTTCTATGCCTTTTCTTCTCATTCTCCATACTCTTCCTGGCAATTTCATCTACTCGGATGTCTTTCATTACCACTGACAGGATAATGAGTCCCAGTCTGCAAACTAGAGTCCATTTCCTAAACTCCAACCAATCCAATGACTTGGATTGCATCTTAAACTCAGTAAAACTGTCCTAACCAGTTTGGCTCAGTGGATAGAGCATTGGCCTGCGAACTCCAGGGTCCCAGGTTCGATTCCGGTCAAGGGCATGTACCTTGACTGTGGGCACATCCTCAGTGGAGTGTGTGCGGGAGGCAGCTGATCGATGTTTCTCTCTCATCAATATTTCTAACTCTCCCTCTCCCTTCCTCTCTATAAAAAAACAAAAACAAAAAAAAACACAAAATATATTAAAAAAAAACAACTACTCTGTAAAACTACCTTTCCTCCAACACTCGCTTCTCCTCCTTTTGCCAATCTGAGGAAATACTACTACTCACCTAAACTAGAACCCTGGGAGTCATCCTAATGCCTCCTTCTCCCCACCATCCCCATCTAAAGAGTCCAAGTCCCTTCAACTCCACTTTGACACATCTCAAGTCTGTCTACTTATTTCCCTCCGAACTGTCCGTATCCTAAGTTTAGACCCTCCATATATCTCCCGTGAAGGACTGCACCAGCCTCCTAACTGGGCTCCCTGCCTCCAAATCTGCCTCTTAAAATCTGCTCTCACCCATCCTGACGGTGATCCCTCGAAATGCAAACGGCATCAGCGCCCCCAGTCTTCAGTATTAACAGGCGTTTCCTGCACCAAAGTTTCTTAGTGATTATGCTCTAACTTTCCTATCCAGTTTCCGTTCCCAAACGCCCCATCACAGGCCCCTGGAGCTGTATCTAGCACACAAATAACATACTTCTTGACAATGCTAGGCTCATCTTTGGACCTGTAAACACTCTGCTCCCTTTCTGGAATGTCCTCTGCCTCCTACACCCTAAGCACCACTCTCTTTTCTCCCCACTGTTAATTTCACTCAGTCGTTCAAGATTTTGTTGAGGCATCAACTCTTCTGGGAAAGCCTCCCTGTTCTCTCTTGTAGAACTATGTCTAATAAAGTTAAAGATAATAATAAGATAATAACAGTAGCAGCAATTATCATTTGTTTTTATGTGCCAGGCACAATGTCATGCCACTACTTCAGTTGTCTCATTTAATCCTTACAGCAAGCTTGTAAATAGTCTTTATTTCACATATCAGAAACTGAGGCTCAAAGCTATTAAAAGGTATAGCCAGAATCAGAACTCATGTTTGTCTGGCTCTAACCAGCACCAACACATACTGGGTGTCAATACATTTTTGAATACCAAGAATCAAAAGGCAGCCTAGAAGCTGTGACAGAGGGCTGGCAGCACCCAAACTACCCAGGTAGAAGCACCTACCTTGTTGTCTAGAGTAGCAATCTCCTGCTGGCTGGCAGTCGACAGTAGAAAAGAATTCATCTGGGTCTTCAAGGTGTCATCCACTTCCACATCAATGTCATAACAAGCCGTCTTTTTCTGATCATTTGGGTCAACACTGGGGAGGAAATCAAAGGGGCCTGGTAAAGGGCTTGTTCCCCAAGACCTAATTACACAGGGTAAAAAAGATGGCTTAAGGAGGAAGGGAAAGAAGTTGATTGCAAAATTCCTTTTGGGTGTGACAGAAATGTTCTGTATCTTTCTTGTGGTAGTAGCTACAGGGTATAACACATTTCCCCAAAGTCATCAAACTATACTTTGAACAGGTACAACTTATTGTATACATATAAATCTCAATAAAGTTTAAAAAGTTTGTTTAAAAAGTTAATGGTAGCCGAAACTGGTTTGGCTCAGTGGATAGAGCGTCAGCCTGCGGACTGAAAGATCCCAGGTTTGATTCCGGTCAAGGGCATGTACCTTGGTTGTGGGCACATCCCCAGTAGGGGGTGTGCAAGAAGCAGCTGACTGATAATTCTTTCTCATTGATGTTTCTAACTATCCCTCTTCCTCTCTGTAAAAAATCAATAAAATATATTTTTAAAAAATAAAAATAAAAAGTTAGTGGTAAAAATTTAAGTGGAACAAAAGATATCCAGTGAAAATAAATTAAAAAAAAAAAAAGATATCCAGTGAAAATAAGTTTCTCCCTTCCCAAAGAAAACCACTACTGTAATATCTTATATTATCTTTCTGCCTGTTAAACTAAAATTGACCCTGAAAATAAATTCAAATAAAACACACACCACACAAAATAAGTGCTCAAACTTTAATTACAGGAATATAGAACAGACCAACTTCTACTAACCCAAAGTACAGGTAACAGGAGTTCCTACTGGCTGAGTGATGGCTCACAGTCTAAAGAGAGGAAGGCCTTTATTGGAATTAATACAGAGTAAGGCTAAGAAGGCAGACACTATACCCAACCACAGAGACATGCTGCTTTGAGGAGGAAGTACCTTCCATCATGTTATAGTGCCTAAATGCCTTGATCATCCATCTTCTGAACAAAAAAGTGGGTGGAGGTAACGGAGGAGGAGTGTCAGACTGGAATGCCCTACCATCCAGAGAAAAGATGGCAGCCTACCAGTGATGAACTGGTAAATGTCTAAAACAGATTCTCCAAAGAAGAGGAGAAAAGCCCTGGTTTGCAGCATTTGCCAATTTCTGCGGTTTAAATATTCCCAACATGATTGATTTCAAGCTGCCATTATTACATCACTGATCAAGGAGTTGGGAAGAGCTGTGCAAGTTACACAGTATTATATAGTACTTCCACCGTACAGACACAGCAGACGTAAGTAACCTTGAAAACATAGATACTAATAAATAATTAGGAAATGAACTTTTGAGTAATATTACCCTCATTTTAACATAATATATTTAATTCTAAGTTCATATAATTTTAAATAACAGCTATGTTTAACAACCTGCTTACAAAGTTCCTGAAAATTTGACAGTTGGCTTGTGCAAGCTGATACCAGCCAGCACCAGCACACCACTACCTCCCATACCCATGCTTACCTGATGACATGATTAATGATGATGGGTTCTGGTGGCATAAGCAAGGCGTGGAGCCTTTGGGGGATCTCCGAAAACTTCATACGTTGAGACTCAAAGATCTGAGGAAAGGGGGAGGGGTAAGAAGCTGGCACTTTGTGTACAACCAGGGCTCCGAAGGACTCTGGCAAAAGAAAAGGTCCCTTGCTTACCTGCTGCAGGTACTTGTCACAGATGACAAACTCCCGCTCGTGAGGGTCCTGGAGCTTATGCGTCTTTATATATTGCCACAGCGCTTGAATGATCACTGGACGGGTCTGGGTGTGGATGCCCAGGAGCCTAGCCAGGCGAGGGTCTAATTTAAACTGGGGAGGCTGCAGAAAACCAAAGAATAAAGAGATGAAGTGAGCTGAATCTGTATGCATTTTGGGGTGTTTAGCATGATCATACATTCAAGTCACTTAACAAGTAGTACAGTAGTGTTTTCTCTGGGACAAACACTAGAAAAAATTCAGAAATGATTAAGACCTATCCCTATATCTAGGGCACTTACAGTCTGGCGTGATTATCCACAACTAAAACTTTAAAATGTCAGACTGCCGCCCTGGATGGCTTGGCTCAGTGGACAGAGTGTCAGCCAGCAGACTGAAGGGTCCCAGGTTCAATTCCGGTCAAGGGCACGTACCTTGGTCGCAGACTCAATCCCTGGCCCTGTTTGGGGCTCATGTGGGAGGCAACCAATTGATTGATGTTTCCCTCTATCCCTTCCACTCTCTTGGAAAATATCCTCAGGTGAGGATTAACCAACCAACCAAACAAACAAACAAAAACAAACAAAAATGTCAGCCTGCTGATGTGGCTGTGAAAGCCAGACCCCCTCACGTCACCAGGGCTGGCATACCTGGTAATCCAGCATCAGTAGGACAGTACACCGGACATTCACATCTCCCGGCCGCTTCACCTGGAAGCCGTCCGTCTCCTGGGTAGTGGCGGTCCTGTGCCACTGCAGAGAGGAAGATGTCAGGGGGTGCTCTCCCAGGGGAAGAGCTGGGGTGGGAGGGAAGAGCTTCTGTAATGACTGAATTCAACTCTGATTACTGAGGCTACTGGAAAAGAGCAATAGCATGAGAGTTTATTTGTTTTTTAATTGCTATGGCTTTGGGATTATTGTCTGTTTAAGTAGATTAATCTTTTAATTCTTACTGCTCAGGGTCACATCTAAATTAGCCTAAATTTCCATTGATGATTTTATCTACATCATGGGAGTACACATGTGCATAGTAAAATAACACAGCTATCATTTACTGAATACGTACTATGTGTGAGAGTATTCTAAGACATTTACTTGGGTTCTATCATTAATCCCAACACTCATACCAGATAGGCACAGATCAGCCTATTTTGCAGATGAGAAAACTACTGCTTAGAAGAATGAAGTTTGTCTAAGGTCAAACAGCCAGTAAGGAGTGGAGCTGCGATTTGAGCTCTGATATGTCTAACTCTTCAGTCCACATTTCTAGTCACCACCATGCCTTAATTAAGCATATTTACAAATTTCTATGGATTCTATGACTTACTTCCCTTATTAGATGCTAAAGACCTTCCCATGTCTCTTAATGTTTGAGGTTAAGGGGCTGCAGCTACACTGGCAAAAAAAAGGAGCAGGTTAAGTTCACTTGGAATGCTGGACTGCCTCATTCTGGTTTTGACTGTATCCCAAAGAACACTGTTGCTAACACGGCTTTCAGAACATTGCATAATCAGGCATTAAAACAAATTCTTAATTTTGGGATGCAAATCTAAACAGAGCAGCGATCAAAAGGAAGTCCCAGATCTATAACAGTAACCTTGGCAAAGACTAGAACCCTAACAGTTAGCCCGTCTAATTATAGAACCTGCTACCATGAAAAAGTATGAATGGTGTATGGTTAACTATGTCTCAACCTTATTAATAAGCAAGATACAGGTGGCATGTAAAAGCCGGGCATGTAAAAGAGGCCTCCATTAGAATTTCCCTTGAAAGTGGAGGGAGCAACTAAGATACTGTAGTAACATTAAAAAGATGAGACAAGTCAGACCGCAAGAACTTGTCTTTGGGTCCAAACAGCTAGTGCCACCTGGAGGTCAAGGTGCAAACTACAATGGTGGTACTGTACCCCTGGGTTAAGTATTTTTTATTTATACCTCCCCCTCTCCCTAGACATTAAAATTTGACTCCCACGTCCATCATCCTTCAGTCATAGAATCAAAGTCTAGAGGCAGAACTACTCACTTCTACCAGATGGTTGTCTGGCCCGTACAGGTCTTTGTCCAGTTCGATCACCAAGGATTTAAAAAAGGAAGAGAACTTCCTTTTTTGTTTGGTGGCATCATATTTGGACAAGGCTGACTAGAGAGAAACAAAAGGTCATGTTAGAGAAGCCCAGAAAAATTCCTGAGACAAAGTCCCATAAAAAAAGGGGGAGGGAGGGCAAACAGCAATAGGAAAACTCAAAAATGTCTTTTGAGCCTGGCTGGCATGGCTCAGTGGTTGAGTGTCGAACTATGAACCAGGAGGTCACGGTTCAATTCCCGGTCAAGGCACATGTGGGTTGTGGGCTTGGTCCCTAGTCGGGGGTGTATGGGAGGCAGCTGATCAACAATTCTTTCTCATCATTGATTTTGTCTCTCTCTCCATTTCCCTCCCTCTCTGGAATCAATAAAAATATTTTTTAAAAATGCCTTTTGAATATCTCTTAGGAAACAGAAAGGTAGATGTGAGTATTAAGTCACAGTAGCAACAGAACCCTGAATAAGCAGTCTATATTATGTATAGGGTCACTGACTTAACTTTGTCAGGTTAAGCCAAACCATTACACATAAAGCGAGTCTAAACAGAGAAAAGTCTGACTATAGAGGGGAAATGAATCACAGGCAATGAACAGCCAGAACAAAAACAGCTTTATTTGGATAGAGTGACAGCACCAGCACATGGGCTGGATCTATAAAGAGGAGGCTCTGACACTGAATCCTGGTTCTTCTGCAAAAATGCATTCACATTAGCTTGTCTGTGAACAGCTAAAAATAGAGAGTCAGAGAATATAAGGGAAACGTGAGCTTCCCCAAGGAGCTTCTGGAATAGAAAGTTTGGGGGCTATCACCTGTCAGCTGATGCTCCCCATGAAGCAATCAAGGGCCTGTCAGATAAACCTGTTCCACTTAAACTGTGAGATGTCTCCAATGAACATTGGGAAGATAGAGATGCCACAATGGGAATCAAGGACCTCAAGAACTCAGAGGAAAATATGGCCTCAAATTCTAAGTGCAAGCTCACTTGAACGAACACACACACACACACACACACACACACACCAGAATACTCTGCACATAATGCTAAATTCAATGGCCAGTAGCGTCAGAAGGAAGGTAAATAACAAATCTAATCCCAGGACAATAACGTTCTCGATAAGACACCACAGTGAGGGCCAAGCTGTGGGAGCCAACACAAAGAACCATTGTCTTCAGCACAGGGAACACAGTGACCCATCCCCCACCGTTCCTGACAGGAGCTGTGAGCACCAGTCAGGCTTCCTGCCAACGAGACAACACTGCTTGTTCCCAGCAGCTCCCCCCCCCCCGCCCCCCCATGCAGACCCGTGGTGGACCTTGAACTCACATCCTCCAGGAGCCGTCCTTCTACCCGAAGCTCCCAGGAAGCCACCGTCCCTTCCCCATCCTCGGCATCTGACTTAGCCGGATTGAAAGTGTTAGAAATGAAAATTCGCAGCTTCCGTTTTTGCTGAGGAAGGCAGAAACAGGATTGATGGTGGGGCTTCAGTGGTTTGATGCTGAAGACAGGGTCTCCCCAACCCCATTATTCCTAACAGACTGGCTTAGTGTCTATCCAGTCCCTAAGGTGGGTGGACAGAGATCCCATCTAGGAGTGCAAGCCATTGGTCTGAGTGCAAATGTATCTACTGAGATGCCAGTATATACTGAGATGCAAGGTGGCAGAGTAGTTGTAGCAAAAACATGGACGAGGTATAGTATATTTCTGGTGTAAGAGATACCCCAAATCCCTCCCCTTTGGCTGTTTTGTTTTTATGTTCCTAATGTAAGTCTAGTTCATAGGTGGATGGGAAAGATGCCACTTAAATGCCAAGGAGAGCTGTGCTGCGCCTTGGATTTCTCATCTTAGGCCTGCTGCAGGCTCCCGAATCCTCTCCTTTGGTTCTCTGCCTAGTGCACTCCTCCTGTGTTACCTTGATGGGGCGTTTCAAGGCCTCCTGTATATCTAGCCGCTTCCTCATGATAGTCTGGTCCAGTTTCCTTTCAAAAGCCAAGAGATCCATATAGGCCTGGGATTCTGGTACCAGTTCACGAATCTTAGAAACAGAAAAATATCATGTGGATATAGAGCTGACCAGCTCTATTCTCAACCTCACCCACCACACCCTCAAGAAGACCTACAGCCTGGACTCACCCTTTGAGGTAGAATTTTGTCAGCCATCTTCTTTTTCTTTGCACTGTTCAAAAGAAACACTGTTATCAGGTTGGGATGGAACTAACCAGAAAATGAAGACAGGGTGTCAGCACCTCCACTTATAGTGAAGTGAAGGGATGAAAAGATTTTCTCAAATCAAAGACATTCTTCCCTCAACCCCCCACCCAACATGAGGCATTCTCAATAAGCACCATCTGCTGACACGGCACCACCATTTCTTGGTTCAGATACTCCCACCACCTGAGTTCTCATAGGTTCCCTCCCTCCGTCCCTCCCTGCCCCACAGGGTCATCTTACTTGTGGTTTCGATTTTGGACCGCCTGCTGCTGGACCTGCTGGATCTGCTGAGGAGCAGGTCTCTTGCGGGACTGGTCCATCCCTGACTGAGCCAGGCCAGGTCGGACTGAAGGGTTCCCCCCGTAGCCAGGGGGTCCCATGGAAGGTCCCTGAGGTGTCATTCGGCTGCCTGGCAGCATACCTGGTCTCTACAGAGGGGAGAGGACCCAGAGATGTCATAGCTTCCCCTACTTGGCCCACGTGGGGGATTCTTGAGTTCTCTGAATGAAACAAGGCCAGTGGGGGGAGGGCTGGGGGTGGAGTACAATGGAGGGCCCTCTGCCTCTTTGAAATGCAAATCACTGGAGCTTCCTCTGCTCCAGTCGGGATCCGTCAGAAAATATCGCTCCAAAGTAACAATCAGATCACCCTCAAGCCCTCCCTAGTCTACTTTGTATCTGTCACACCGCACATCTCTAGTTCAGACAGTGCTGTCAGCTACTCCCTCCTCTGGCATGGAACTGCCCACGCCCTCATGCCCTCAGGTCTCAGCTGCCCACGCCGGCCCCACTCCATCCACCCCGGATCCACATCCTGACCCCACCCCACGGAAACCATGCCCCCGGGAGCAGGGAGAGATGCTAGCTGCCTCCCCACCCTCACCCAGGGCCCAAGTCCTGCCAGGGAGCCCCTCCTCCTCCTCGCCCCACCGCTGTCACTCCCAGGCCCCCGCTCGGCTCCGCCCCGGCCCGCGCGCCCCTCCTCCAGCCCCGCTCACCGGATAGGCCGCCCCGGGCATCGGGGAGCGGTACAGCCCCTGGCCCGGCGCCGGGCCCATCCGCACGGGAGGCCCCGGAGTCCCGCCCGGGCCCAGGGCAGCCGCCGCGCCCGCCCCTCCTGAGGCTCCGGCCCCGCCGCTCGGAGCCACAGACTGGAAACCCGCCCGGGCCGCCATCTTCCCCGGAGCCGCCGCTGCAGCTGCACAAAGAACCGGAACCGGAACTCCCCCCGCCCCCCGCGCGCCCCGCGAGCCCCCCGCGCGCTCGCCTGTCCGCCCGGCCGGCTGGCCGGCACGGGGAGGCTCCGGGCAGCGAGACTGTGGGCTAGAGGGGGCAACTAGCGGGAAAGGTGTCGGCCACGCCCTCCCGCCTTCGCGGTCCGGGAGGAGAAACCATAGAGAAGGGCCCTGGGATAGAGAGGCGCTGGGAGCGGGCGCCCCCAGGCGACGGGAGGGAAACAGGCCCTGGAGAGGAGGACCCCGGCCCCAGCCCCGCGCTCTGATGGGGGCGGTGGTGCTGGACCGGCTTCTTCTTGGCGCAGCGAGTTCAGCTTTCCAGAGCGTTTGGGTTGTTCGTTCCCCTCCTCTTACTGCTGGAGAAGTCCGAGGGGCTGAAGAGGAGAACGCACTGCTTATTCTCTTTTACAGACGGGAAAGCTGAGCTCAGAGAAGTTGACTTGGCAAAGGTCACTAGGTTAGCAGCAGCAAAGCCAAAGCCCAGAATCCACATCTTCTGGCTTATACCTTACCTGCGGCTCATTGCACAGAAAAGGTGCCTCAATAACAACCTCATTAGAACGTCAACCCAACGAATTCCCTGGCTTTTAACGTAACCTGCTTCCAAATTTTAAGTTTATTTTAAAATTTGACTCGGCCTCCTCTTCAAAGCATCCTTTAGGGTTCTCTGTTGCCTTAGGCCCCGCCCTCTTTCCCTGTCCAGTGGTTCAAACCATTCCTGGTGTGATGGCCAACCAGTCTCATCCCAGGAGGATGGGGGTCTCCCTGCTCAAGCCTCCTTATTCCTCCCCTGACTGTTCGGCCCTAAACCAAGCTTAGCTCTAGGCTAAGGTGACCAGATCGTCCAACTTTTGGCGGAACAGTCCCAACTTTCAACAATTTTTCCCGTGTCCCGAGGCGTTTTAAAAAAGTCCCAATTTTTGGAAAAATTAGAAACTCAATGGGAAGGCTTAAATGCTATTCCGATAAGAGAAGAAGACACTGACGAGGAATGGTTGAAACCCAGTTTATTAGACCAGAGGCATGCGTCACCCATAGCCCTGCCTGCTGTTCTCCATCCTGTGCACACACCCCAGGCCTTGCTCCTGCTTCCCTCTGGAGAGATCTGCTCTCTAAGGAATTACTAGGAACTAAACTTCCCAAAGATCCTAAAGCCTCACCCTCCAGCTCCAGGTCAATGCACAGGTGACCGGCCACAGGTCCTGTTCTGGGGTTGGAGACCAAGAGATTGCTGGGCAGAGAAGGCCTGGGAAGGGGCAGGGCCCTGACCTGGGAGGACCGCCTAGTGGAAGGGGCCCAGCAGGCCCTCTATCTCGCTCACTTTCTCTTTAAGGTAGGAACAGCGCTCAACTTCCCCTCTCTTTCCTCCCACTACCAAACCATACCTCACCAGGAAATACAAGTGATGGGTTTGGGTATCGGACAAGGAAAGGGGACTGGGCCCTAGAAGGAGGGAAAGGCCACTGAGGGAAGACCTCAGCTCTGCCTGTCAGCACCCCACTGCTCCATCAAAGCAGACACTGGCCCACAGCTCGCTCTCTCTTTGAAGCCCTTGGCTCGGTGTGCACAGCAGGTCTGCCTCCCTTGGGTGGGGCTGTCTCTGTATCCGTTCCTTCTCGTGGGAGAGGCCACAGGCAGCCTTGCAGAGGGCGCTTGGGTGGGAGGAACGGGGGAAGGAACGTTAAGGCTCCAGGGAGGACAGAGAATACCCCGGTGAGGGGGAGAGGAGGAGGCCAGAAAGAGGCAGAGCTTGTGATTCACAGCTTCCTTTATGTCGCCGCCGAGACAGTGCGAAGGTTACAATGCGCGTGTCGTCTCCTTGTGCTTCTCAGAGGGATGTGTGTACACAGTACAGACACCGGGGGAGAGAGTCCAACTCTTTATACAGGTGAAGGCATTCAGAGACCAGGGAGGGGGCAGAGACATGGGAAGGGGCACTTGGGGTGGGAGGGTGGTTCTTGGAGACAAGAGGGGATGGAAGGCAGAGACAGACAGAGTTAGGGGAGAGTATATACAGAGATATAGCAATATAGAGTCTGTATCATATAGAAATAGAAAATGCGGATGAGGTTGTCGAGAGAAGCAAATGAAGTTGGGAAAGAGGACTTGGGAGAATTCCATAAGAAAATTTATGGATGTGGCCGTCTGCGGGGGCCCCGGGAACGGGACCAGTGCCCCTCTCCCTGAGCTGGAAGGGAGAGGAGGCTGCCTCCTGGGGTTTCTGTCCAGCAGCTCTGGGGTGGGGGTGGCCTTGTAGGTATCAGGATGTGGCCTACAGCACCAGGGCCACATCTTGTCCCCCATCTCCATTTCTTCAGGGGATCCTTACCCCCACCTCCCTAGTGACTTCACACGGTGTATGTGTGGGGGTGGGGGCCGGGGCTTAGTTCCTACTTGGACACTTGGGGCTGGGAGGTGGTCACTGGGCTGAGAGGGTCTCTTAAGGCTGGGAAGCCCCACCACATCACCACCACTACCCCTTCAAGGTACATTCTCTGGTTTAGGGCCAAATTCCAGATCTGAATGATCCCCTCCACTCCCCCCCTCACCCCACTAAGAGGGGGCTTTGGTGACTGGTGGCAGCAGAATGTAAGTGTGGACACTCAGATGACAGACAGCCAGACAGACAGAGTTCAGGCTGGGAGCTGGGGGAGGCAGCATGGAGCAGAGAGGGGCAGCCTGAGGTCACTTGCCCAGTTCTCTCTTTTTTTAGTTTCTTTTTTAGATTAGTTTTGTTAAAAATAAAAAGAAGAGGGTAGAGACAGGTCAAGACTCCTTCCTCACCACAGACAAGAGGAAAGGGCTGCCCAGGAGTGGGGGGCTGCCTTGGGAGGGGGAGGGGGTCCCCAGGGCAGATGTGGGGGGGCACTTGAGGGCCCCCTTGCTCTTCTAGCCCTCCTCATCTAGGCCTTTGGTACTGTGGCCTGCAGGGCTCAGCAGGTAAAGTCCTCAAAAGTGCCTCGCGCTGGGTGGTGAGGTAGGATGTTGGCAGCATACGTCATCCCGGCAGGATGGCCTCGCAGGCTCTCACAGGGGTTCTGGAAGAATGGCACAAGACAGGGGCCGGTTATTGACAGATAGTACTAGGGCGTGGGGAGGCAAAGGAGGAAAGGTAGCAAGGGGTAGTCCAAGGTTGATGGGGAAGGGACTTGAGGGGGGCACCCATCTCTGGCTCCCTCACGTGTCTTTTGACGTCATCCAGGCTGAGGGCCACTCCCTTGTCTGCGCTGCTCCTTTTGGCCTCCTTCTGGCACTTCCCTCGTCTGCACAACCTGTGCTTAATGACCTGGGATACGTGGGGTGGGGAGTGGGTGTGTGGGTGGCCTGGAACCCCACTCCGCTCCTTACATGGCCCCTGCCTGTACACCCTCCCCCCTCGCTTACCTCATAGGCGTAGTCAAAGAGCTCCAGCACGGTGAGGATGCTGGCGCCAATGAACAGCCCCATCTGGCCCCCAATGTCACCTGCGGGGGGGCACAGGGAGGTCAGTAGGGTCAAGACACCATGGGAGCGGCCGAGCCCACTGGGACAGAGCAGGCAAATCAAATTTGCGGAAGGATAGATAGCCTTTGCACAGAAGGAGCACAGAGTGATTCTGATGGAGGGTGAGGTTATTTTCTCCTCCATGCCTTTCTGTGTTGTGTGTGTGTGCGTGTGTGCGTGTGTGTGCGTGTGTGTGTATGTGTGTGTTTTCTACTTTTCTTAAAATGCATAGGTGTTATTCAGAAAAAAAATTGTTTATAAAAATACCCCAACACTCTTATTCTCTAGGCAAATGTTCAAGGGTGTATGAAATAGTTCCCTATTCATGACCAGGCCTGTCTCTTCCTATTTGCCCTAAGAGAAGGCTCAGCCCCCTCCCGCCACCACATACCAAGGCAACAACATTTGGGGAAAGGCCCCGGAGATGGTTGAGGACAGAGGTGAGCAGCCCGCTTTGGGTGGGAGGGTGTCACACCATGCCCATGACATGGGAAGGGGACAGGTGCCATCAGCAGCTCACCCAGGAGCCCTGCAATCTCATAGGCCTTCTTCTGTTCAATGGTTTCATAGTTGAGAACTTCAAAGAAAATGTCCAGCACCAGGATGTTCTCCCTGCAGTGGGGTTGGGAGAGGAGACCTAGGTTCAAGTCACATCTCTGTTCCTGACTAGCTAGGTAACTTTCCTAAGTTATCCTTTGAGTCTCAGTCTCCATGTCCATCAAATGAGATGCTGATGGGGATACCTGCCTGTCGGGGTTGCTGTGAGGATTAAACGGGATGGCCTATACAAAAGGATGCTCCATACACTAGCAAGTGCGAGGCGATCCCAGGCACAGCAAGGAGAATGACAACAGAGGGTGAGGTGAGGAGGAAGGAGAGAGAGGCACTTTCCCTGCTTGTTCTGACTTGATCTTTCCTCACCCCAGATTCAACTCCCTCCTGTCCGCTGGCCCCCCACCAGAGCCCACTGACACCCTTCCCAGGCCCAGCCCAAGAGCCCTGCCTTGCAGAGCCAGCGCCCTTACCCTATGTACTGCTCAGACTTGTTGAACTTCTTGGCCAGGTATTTGGCGGATGCTTTGCTGGGGATCTTGACCATGGACAGCTCCTTGGCATAGCGGGTCAGATTGCAGGGCATTTCACACACACAGTACTCCTGGTCCTTCTCCACCAGGAAGTCTGTGCCCAGCCAGGTGAGAGGCGCCAGTTGAGTGGTGCCTTCCTGCCAGCACCTCCCCACATGCACATCCTGGCCCTGCCCAAGGAACCCGAGCCCCCTCCTCTTTCCTCACCTCAGCCCGGTGCCCTCCCTCACCAGCCTCCCAGGGGTATATCCTAGTCCTCTCTCTCGTTCCCTCAGAGACCTGAGCTGCTGAGGAGAGAGAGTGAGGGCCCCTCCCAGGTGACCCGGGTCCATCTCTCACAGGGGCCTTTAGAGTTAAGTCCCCAGCCTTGCTAAAGCCAGACACAGGAGCTTTCAGGTGAAGCTTGATCCAGGAGTGATTGGAAGTGTATGGGAGCTCGGTCTGAAACCCCTGAGCCTGTGGCTGGCAGCCCCTCCTCCCCTCCCCCAGGATGCCCCAGGGCAGGGTCGCTCACCCAGAGCGGGATCCGCACACTCCTTGTACTGCTCCGGAGTGCAGTACGGGGCGTCCCCTGCAGAGGAGAAAAGGCAGTGGCCTAGGATGAATATGGAAGGGCTCCGAGACAGCGGTTGTGACAAAGGTCTAGAAGCTGGAAGAGGAGAGGGTGGGACTAGCTACCACCCCATCTGTCCTGGAGGTGACCCAGCCCGCGGTCCACTCCTCCTGGACCCTTCCCACCCGCCTCTATGGGGACAGGCAGGCAATACAGAACCGAGACACGTGGGAATGGGATGGATGTCTGCTCCATGAGAATGGGGGCTGGACGTGGGGAGGGAGAAGCCAGCTGGTCTTCCTCGCGTGGTGGTGGGAGCTGGTGAGGGGCAGGGTAGCTGAGGGGCCCAGGGCTGCGCTGGGCGCTTCGGGGCCCACCTGGCATGTGCACCATGCGGCAGTTACAGTTCTCCACCAGGTAGCGGGTCTCACAGTCGATGCGGCAGGCGGTGATGCTGTAGGAGTCGAAGAAATCCGAGTCCATGGTAACAGCTTTGCAGGTGCCCCAGGGCGGGGGCAGGTAGATGAGCTGCTGGGAGAGCCGGGGAGCTGGAGGGTGTGGAGACATCTCCCCCCGCCCCCCTGTCACCTTGATGGGCTCTCTAACAGGACTCAGAACTCTGCACCCTGCCCCGCTCCCTCCACCGCTTCTGAGCGTCTTCGAGGTGAGAGGACATCCCCGTGTCTCAGCTCATTCATGCTTCTCACTGGCCAGACGGCCACCCAGGCTCTCGCTCCTCCGCCCCTCCTGTTGGTGACGGCCCCCAGCTCCGTCCTGCACACCCCACCCCAGGCCCGTCCTCCTGCAGCCCCTCACCCTCTGCTCCTGGCAGGCCACAAAGGTCTGGAACCCCGGGGCCACACCGAAGCCCAGCTGGTCGATGAAGGGAGGCTCGTCCTGACTGTGGATCTGCACTTTGATGCCAGCTTCGAAGGACGTCTCGTCTAAGGGAACGAGGGGGGAGGGTGCTGAGAAGGTTCCCGATTCCCTAACCTCCCTCAGCGCTGGGGCATCCTGCCTCTCGGGGGAACAAGCACAGCACACGCTGGAGCCGGAGGAGGGGCCTTCGGGGTTCACCAGCCCCGGGCTGCCCCGGTGACCCCTGCACCCTGCATGCTTTTCTCTTATCTGGCTCCGGCTCTGCACACTGGTGCTTCCAACGCTCTCTCAGATGCTCTCCATTTCTCCCCCTCCTCCCCTCCCTTCTCCCCCACCTCTCTCTGCCCCAAGGCCCCTGAGACCAGACAGACAAGAGGCAGCCCGAGAGAGGGAGTTATTTATAGAGCGAGTGGCAGCCGCTGATGGAGAGGGATGGCTGGTTACCTTGGAGAGCAACTGAGCCAGGAAGGGGGAGCCGGAGGAATGTGAGTGTGGCAGTCAAGCAGGTGGCATCGGAGAAGGAGACGGGGAGATGCCGGGAGGAAGGGGTGGGAGAGGAGCCTGGGACCTGCCTCAGGTCCCACAGGAGACCCAGGAGTCCCCTGGCAGAGGCGGAGGCCTGGAGCCGTGGGGAGGGACCCTGCGGGGTGACATACCGGTCTCCCCCCACACAGGCAGGTACTCGTCCTGCTGGATGTCCAGCATGATCTCCAGTCCGTTGCCCGTCCCACCCTTCATGGTCTTCAGCGGCGGGCGCCCGTCTCGGCCGGAGTTGAACGTGTAGCACTTTCCGTACCGGGTGAAGACCTGAGAAGGGGGGGCGGGTGAAAGCCTGAGAGCCCTGCCCGCCCCCTGCCCGCCCCGGGCTGTCCCGACTGCCCAGCTGCTGGAATGGCAGTGCCTTCAGGACTGGCCCCTCCTTGCAGCCCGTTCGCCATTCGCCTTTGCTTTCACCCACTCTGCCTTCTGTGCCGCCCTGTGCACCGAGAGCTGAGCCCCGTGGGGCTCCTTTGCTACCTGGATAGGCTTCTGGGAGGGTCTGGCCAATGGGTGGCATCGGTAAAGGGTTAGGGGGCAGAGTCCCGCCCCTCACGTCGCTGAGAGTTCTGGCGGTGGCTGACCCTGGGTGACAACTCTGCCAGGACCCCCTGCCTGGCCCGGCGCCGCCTGTGGCCACTCCTGCCGGCGCCTCAGGCCCCTTGTTGGTCTCCTTAACTCTGTTCAGCGCCCTGTGAACAGGCCTCGTTACATCTTTTCAGTTGAACTCTCTGAGTGGCCATCCTGCTCCTACGGGGACCCTGACACAGACCCCTCCAACATCGGGACCCCACCGCCACCTTACCCTTGGTTCCATCCCAGCGTCTGCGGGGCCCTCTCCCCAAGACCCGCCCCCGAACCAAGTGAAGCTTTTCAGTGTCCTCAGGCCACCAGCCCCCCCCCCCCCTGCTCACCACTGTCCCATCATCACCAGAACCTGAAAGTGAGCCCAGCTGCCGTGCCAGGGACCCGGCTCACCCACCCAGCAGCTCCTCTCTCAGCGCCAGGCACTGGGCAGCCAGGGCCTGGCACATTTGGCCATGCCAGGACTGTCAGGGCTTCCAGACAGACCCCCAAGAGCAGCCCTTAGCGGGGGGGGGGGTCTGTCTGGAAGTGAGCCAATTCTCTACGGCCCTGTCTCCACAGCTTCCCTGAACGCCCCGGGTTCCCACAAACACGAGTCACAGGTGAGCAGAGGTTCAGCCCAGAGACCGAGAGAGACCGGGTGTCTGGCCAGACGGGAGCGGCAGGGGCAGAGGGGCCCCTCGGAGCAGAGTCCTTGCCCCCTCCCGCCTTCCTGGAGCAGCCTCCCCCCTCTACTCGCCCCTCCCCCCCCCCCCCCCGAAAAGAAAACATGCTGCCCCCCATTTGGGAGCCAGGTCCCAAGACGAGGTGGAGAGAGAACTCTGACAGCTCCTAGCCGCCCAGCCCGCTACAGGGCTCCGTGGCATTCAGGTTCCAGGCTGGGCACACACCAGCCTGCCCTCCCCTGGGCATGTGAGTGCGCCCAGGGCTTGGCGCGCTGGCCCGGCCTGGCCCTGGCTCGGAGCTGGGCTGCGGGCCGGCGGGCTGCTGCTGCCACCTTGTGGTCCTGGGTGAGAAGTGTCTGCTCTACCCTTGGGTTCAGAGGAAGGAGCCAAGTGGATCCCCTCCTCGTCAGGTGCTGCTAGATGTCCCGGCCCGTCTGAGGCCCAGCGGACCCATCTGTCTGCAGCCACCCTGCAAGGCACCGACATGATGGCACCCACCTGCTCCTGCACTGGGAAGGGGGTTGGAGACCGAGGGGGGGGGGTGTGGGGAGGGAGGGCGTGGCGCCTGGCACCTGGTTAGACAGAACTGGAAGCTGAACTGGGGAAAAGATGGGTTTCCTCCGCAGAAAGGCCTTGGACTCCAGAATGGCAAGGAGGTTGATTCTCCCAATGAGGGCTTCCCCGAGAAGAGGGTCCCTGGTCACTTGGAGCTGGGGGTGCGGTGGGGGGGGGGAGAGGATTTAAAGGAGGCCTGTTATCCTCCCTCAGAATAACATGTGCACCGCACACGCATGCACACACGCACACACGCACGCACGCACACACACGCACGCACACACACGCACGCACACACACGCACGCACTGTAGGAGGAACACAGGAAGACCAGGGAGGGTGCAGTGAAGCCCTGCCATGGGAGCTGCGGGGGAGAGGGTGGCGGGTGGAGATGAGGGCTCTCCCTCCCACGCTCTCCCCCTCCAGAAGCCAGTGGCACCTGCCCCCGCTCCAGCCCAGGGATGTCAGTCAGAATTGTCACTGCCTGGCCCAGGCACCACCTGCTGGGCAGCAGCTAATTACCGACGAGCATGATATAGTTTAATATTTTAACAGGAAGAGCGGCACCGAGATCAGAAAGCCAGCTCAGACCCAGGGGGGTCAGGGTGAGCCACGGCAGACACTCTCGGGGCGCCCGCCGGGCACGGGTCTCCACTCACCACGGAGAAGTTGTGGGGGCCGCAGGGCCCCCCACAGTAGGAGCAATAGAGCAGCATGTCCTCCAGCCGGTGGCAGGAGCGGTTGTAGAAGCGGTGCAGGTTAAAAGGCTCCCCAGAGAAGGCCTCGGGCCCCGGGGGCGCCAGGAGCACCCCGGGGTCCTCGCTCTCGTCCATGCCCAGCATCGGGGCCAGGTAGAGCAGGTCCGGGTAGCTGAGCTGGGACAGCCGCACGGCGTTGGTGTTGCAGAGGGTGACCGCCGGGAAGGCCAGCTCTGAGGAGGCCACCTCGTCCAGCAGAGTCACGTGAGGGTAGCTGAGGTAATAGGCCACTCGGTCCCCTACCTGGCACAGGAAGGCCCCCAGCGCCAGGACAAAGGCCACTGCCCACAGGGCCTGCCGCGGCCCCGGGCCCCCTTCCACAAATATGCGGTTGGCGCCGTGGAGGGTGCAGCTGCTGGCGAAGGCCACCAAGTCCTCGGGCAAACCCCCCTCTCTGGCCTCCCTCCTGGGTGCCTCCTCTTCCTTCTCTTCCTCCTCCTCTTCTGACTCTGAGCTGTCCCGCTGCTGCTGCTGCTGCGGCGGCTGCTGCTGGGGACCCTGAGCATCCCCCAAGGGCCCGGGGGCCTCCTTCCCAGAGGAGAACGACACAGAGCAGAAGATCTGGATTGGCATCTTCACCAGGGGCTTCCTGGCTCCAGGGGGTTGGCAGGAGAAAGGTGAGGGAGAGGCGGTCCCCGGCAGGGTCTGGCAGGGCCAGCCACCGGCCCTCCGGCCAGGTCTCCGCCGAGGGCTGGCCCCAGCCGCGACCTTCCTCATCGGCCCGTGTGGCAGTGTGGCCGAGCTGGGCGGGGCGTGGAGCGAGGACCGGCCTGCCCCGCCCTGCGGGAGGGCGGCGTCTGGGCTGATGAATAATTGAAGGCAGAGTGAAAGGGCGGCTGATGGAGGGGAGGGGACCTGGCCCCCCCCCCTTTTTTTTTATCAGCAGCTCCAGCAGGAAGGAGAGGGTTGAAGACAGAATGGAAATTTGGAAAATCCTAGGGGCTACCTCTCCAGGTGAGAGGGGACCTAGATAGTCCCTTGCTCTTTCTGCCAAGCCAGCAAAAGTCCCTGCACACACACACACACACACACACACACACACACACACACACACTTTCAAGCTCCCTCTTGTCCTCCCATCTGTTCCTCAGCCTTCCCATCCCAATCCAGGGTCCTCTCCCTCATCTCCCTGCCCCTATCCAGCCAGGCCTCTGGCATATCTGAGCCCCCACACTCTCTTGGCAGTCTCTCAGACCTCTAATCCCCGCTGACCCCTGACTCACAATCCCCCCAATTATTTTGTTGACTCCCCAATTCTCCCAATACACCATTCTCTTCTCCTTATTCCTTTTGAGCCTCCGTTTCCCTTCAATCACTGTCCTGACCCCAATTTACTTTCAGTTATTTCCTAAACCCCCAATTCTCCTGCAAGCACCCTCCCTTGAATCCCAATTTCCCTCCAGCCAGTCCCTGACCCCGTTTCTCCTCCGCTCAGTCCCCTCACCCACCTCTGCTTCAGGTCAGCACCCTCCCCTCCCCGATGCTGAGCTGTGCTTAGGTCACTTTCCCCTCTTGCATTCCCTCTGTGGCTTGGGGGGCAGCCCAGGTTCCATTAGCACAGGTCCCTCCGTGACCACAGACTCATTTGTGGCCAGTTCCCAGCACTAGGGGGCGGGACCCCAGCTCTCGCAGCTGAAAAGCTTCCTAATAGATCCCCCCTCCCCCTCCCAGCCTGCCCACCGCCCTTCAGCCCGGAAAGGAGTTCTAGGAATTCTCTCTGGTTCCGGGGGAGAAACTGAGGTCAGAGCCGAGACTGGGTCCTGGATGAGGTGGGGCGTGCTGGGAACCAAGCTGGGTAACCCCCAAACCCCTCAGCCTCACAGACACCACCAGCCTCTCCGCCTCTGCGGGCCCCGTTGTCCCCAATTTCTCATTCCCTTCCCCCAGGCCCCCGGCCCCTCTGTGGGCTCTGATTACTCAGGGCCACTGGTTGAGGAACTTGAGCCACCAGCCAAGTCTCCAGGGCCTAGAAGGTGACCTGAGGAGGGGAGGGAGGGAGGTGACGCATATTAACCCTTCCTCTGCATGGCCGGGGGAGGAGCCCTGGGGGTCGGACAAGACTGACCCGCTCCTTAACCGACCCACAGCCCCAGGCCTCGTTCCCTTCCCCCCATCCCTGTCCCCTCCTTCCCTGCTCCCACATGTTCGTCCCTTTTCTCCCTCCTCCGTTTGCACGCAGAGACCCTGGAGTGTGCTGGCTGTGGAAGGCAGGGTGCCAAGTCCCAGCAGAACTGACTGATGTGGGACCTTTAGCCTCGGCTTCGCTGCCAGGGACACAGAGGCCCCAGAGAAGAGCAGCCTGAGATCTGACCCCTCTCCATCCTGAGGCCATTGCCCTCAGACTGGCCTCCTCCTCTTTGCCCAAACAACAGCCCTTCAATGGTCTCCTCCCCACCCCCATCCCTGCCCCTGCAGTGTTTCCCCGTTTTCAGTCCATGCTATGTAGCTGTGACCATTCTCCTGCTTAAAGACCTTCTCTCATTGCTTAGTGCCTCTTGGTAAAAGTCAACCCCACCCCACAGGCCTTTGCAATTTACCTTCCATCCTCACCGCCCCTTCACCCCAGTGCATCGTCCAGCCACCACACCCTTCCCCCATTCTGCAGACACACCAGGCCTATCCTTAGTTCCAGGCCTTCTCTGGACTCCATCTGAAGCACTACTCATATTTCAAGACCCTACTCATACATCACCTCCTCCTTCCCTGAC